GCAGCGACCGAGGCAGCCGAGGAGAGCGGCGAACGCGCGGCAGCGCAGCGAGCGAGACGCGCAATAAAAAGCCGGGCAATAACTCGGACTGCCGTAGCTCGATGGCGCATCAAGTTCCTCGCTCGGCGGAAGAGAGCCCGGATGGATAGGCGATCGATCGCCACTTCCCCTATCTCCTATCCGTACGTGCGCCGTGCAACGCGAACCCTCACCTGGGCGCCGCTCTGTACGTGCTCGTGCGACGATCCTCCGAGTTCCGCCGAGGCAGCTCCGAGGCAGTGCCGAGAACAAGCCAGAAAACCGAGAAAGTGGCGCGCCCGCAAAACTTATCGCGGCTGATAATTATTCAATGAAGTTGGCCCGACTTGGCTTAATGTTCGTTATTAACGGCCGGAATTGCCGGGCAAAAGTAAGAGGGCGCGGAGTAAAAATGAACGAGCTCGCGGAGAGCCGGTGGAGGCGGGGAGGAGGCGGCCAACTTGGTAAACAGAGAGCGATGGAGAGGCGCGCGCGTCGAGACGCTCGCATTTTGGTTGGGCGCTCGTTGCGAATGGCAAAGTTGGCGCTGCTATTGACATTCCTCAGCGGCCCGAGCATCGCGAAATCCAGACCGCCCGCGCCGCAGAGAGACCGACGCTCTGATTGTCCCGGCGAAAGTTCCTTAATTATCCGAGGTCGCGGCGCGACGCTCCAGGCTGCCGCTCGAACTGAAGATCGATTCGCGGTGCCGCTGGCGGGCTACGGCTACGCTTACCCCGTGGCGAGACGCGGAAAATTACAGCGCCGCCGGTCTGCGAGTGGTCAAGGCTAGGCGTCATCGCCAAGCTCTCCGTGCTGACCTTCCCAGCGGAATACGAGGCTGCGACCAGATCGCTTGATAAATGGTCGAGCTGCAGCCCATCGGCATCGCCAGACGTAGGCCGCGTAACCAGCTGACGTCGCGGCCTCCCGTTGTCGGGCAATAAAATCGAGCTGATCGATCTTTCATCGAGAGAGAGAGAGAGAGAGAGAGAGAGAGCTGGGCAAAACCGAGCTCGGCACGGCCTCCGTCGTGCCGCGGGGGCGCCAGTCACGAGAAGCACATTAATAATCGGCGCCGTGTTCGAGGCGATCGCGGGCGCGCCGTCCTACGGTAAAGCCACGGCAAAGCGGACAAGAAACGGGCAAGAAGCGGGCACAGGCGCTAACGATACATCTGCAACTCGGCACTTTGGGCGGCCTCATCCGGCTGCGGGCGTCGAGAGCGCAATCGGCGACGAGGGTGGCATCGGCAAAAAGCGAGTTCGAAGCAATTAGAAGGCGGGCCGCGGGCCAAGCGCGGCGGCGCCGAGCGAAAGTTAATCCCGCGGACAAAGAAAAACCTAGCCGAGGAGCGCGTAATTGTTTGAGCGAGCAATGAATCTTTTTACTCGCGGACGGAGAGCCCAGGGCAATGAAGTTCGGGACGAGTTGGGAGCGCGTAATCGCGGCGGCGGCGGCGGTGGCGTCAAGAGTCGCGCTCTCTCTCCGCGTCGGAAATTTTCCTCCGGAGAGCGCTCGTTACTCCTCTGCTCGCGCGCACTCTCTATTTTCGTATTTCAGCCGGGCGCGCTCCACTTGACCCCTTAAAGCCGCTTTATAATCCTGCGGCTGCCCTCTTCAAGATTCCGCGCGCGCGACGATCCGACTGTTCCCGCGGGTGCTCGCGCGCCCTGCCACTGTCCGCGGACGCGCGCGCCAATAATTTCCGATGCCCGGCCCAAGAATTCTCGAAAAGAGAGCTCCCTATTTGTTTTTCCATTAGGCGGCGCCCCCGTTTGTCTCCATTAGCTGCTCCGAGCCTCTCCGTGCCGCTCGGCCTGCTCTCCAAGCTCGCCAACTTTGCCCGATAAATAAGGCTCCAGCTTATAGTTCTCGCCTGGCGATTTCACCGATGAATTAGGACCAGTTGGCACTTTATATAACTGGCCGAGCCTCGTACCCTAAGCCGCGGCATGTCGGCGGATAAGTGAAAGTTTCGCGCCGGTCCGCGTGTCCAATCCAAGCCGTATTAAGATGCCGCTGGATTGCGGGCCATCTGTGCGAGCTTCGAAAACTTTTCTCGTAATGTCATTGGACTGATGCCCGCCGTTGATGCGTCGCCTACTCGCGCGCCAGCCTGATACGTCGACGGCATCGGGAACGAACTCGGTCCGTCATCGATCATCGACGACGTGCGTAAGGTGCGGCGAGGGCCGAACGAGCAGACGCCGCGCCGGATAAATTTCATATGAATTCGAGGTTTCGCGAGCTGCGCCGGGCTCTCGCTTGCTCGAGGAATTTCATTCCGCGAGCGCGGCAACGTGCAGCGCAGGGCAAGCAGCGGAGATGGCGGCGCGCGGCATATATAAACGAAAATGATTTCGGCTGCAGGGAGCGCGTTGCAGCCCCGGCTAACAGAAAATTGTTAGTGCGCGCGCGCTCCGCTCGGATTTGAGAGCCGCGGGAGCTTCCGCCAAAGTATTCCGAGAGAGATGCCAATTTTCTCGTCGAGCTGGCATATCAGCGCTCCTCTCGATTCTCGAGCTAATGTGCGGAAACACGCGCGCCGTGCGCCGAATGCCAAATTAATTTGCTTCGTCCGAAAGCGCTGCGAGCGCAGTCGCAAGCGCGGGATCATTGTCGAGCGAGGCTTATTATCGGCTTCTTCGCTCGGCCCCGGCCCGCCAGTCGAGTTGTGGCCCTCGGCTCGAGAGCTTCTTGGGCGGCGAACGTGAAAAACGACCCAGTCTATAGACGAGAGCGTAGCAGCTACGTGAGCTCGTAGAAGGCGATAAAGGGCGCGCTATTGTGGCCGCGACCGCCACGACGATTTTTTGGCCGTAGCTCTCTGGCTCTCTGGAGAGTGAGATAGAGAGCGAAAGAGAGGGCGAAAAGGCAATGTGATTCCAAACAAAGGATCTACATCAGAGTGATGAGGTGGGCGGGGGGGGGGGGGGCAGAAAACGAGGATCATTTTTAAACCGCAACAGCTAAACGTGCTTGTGCCGCCGAATAATCGAGTGCGCGTTTATTGCCAGGGTACCCATCAATAAGCTCAAGTTCCCGACATTCGTTATGAGATTTCAATTGAAACGGCGAATCGACTGGCATTTCTTCCTTGGCGGTTGCGCTTGACGAGCTCGGAATGCAAAGCAGGCCGTAGTTCGCGTGCAATAGATCTCGTCGTTGTTTGGCCGGTTGCTGCGTCGTCGAATGCCAATGGAAAAAGGGTTAGGCGGCGAGGAGCAATAAGAGTCCATCATTTGGCAGCGCAGCCCCGCGGGGAGAGGAAGAAGCCGAGCTGAAGGGGGAGGACATCGAGCCGGAAGGAACGTTCTATTTCTGGCCGCGCACGACAGTCCATTTGTCATCGTGGCTTCCGGCGGCGCGCGACGCCTTGCTCCCGTTCTCTCTCTCTCTCTCTCTCTCTCTGCCTGCAGCAGCTTCCAGCCACTAGCTACACTTCATCCGTCTTGATCGGTAGGTAAGCTCGCAAGTAGCTCGCAACCCGCAGCGCCACTCGAGCTTCATTAACGGCGCTCCATTCAATGCCGTGCTATCGTCGCGCGGCTGGCTCAATTGTGTGATATCGAGTGCACACCTGGCGAGGGCGTGGCAGATCGTAGGTGACAGGCATCGGATGACGAGTGCCGCCTACCTCGCATGTGGCCGTTTTGAGCAGTGGCGATCCGGCCATTTATTCCCGTCAGCTTACACCCTCGCCAAATAAAAAGCCTCGCTTGTGCATTCCGCGCGAAGCGCCGCCCGAGGAGCATCCCGTTTACCGACGATAAGCGACTCGTCGCGATCCAGCCCGCTCGCACGGATATCCGCGAAGTCGTCGACTCCGGTGCGGTCGGTCGGTGGGCGACGAACGGCTTCGCCGAGCAGTCGTCGGAGCGGATGGCGAGCGCGGAGGCTCAGGGGACGAGGGGCTGCCGCCGCGAGACAAGCTGCCACAGAGAGGCTGCGAGTATCGATTTTGTTTCGCCGGCGGCTGCGAGTTTGTCGCCGAGAGGCCCGCGACTGCGAGCGACGCACTCCCGCCAAGCCGCCTGATCGGCATTCACGGCGCGCGAGGCGAGCGCAAAGGGAGCTGGCGAGAGGAAAGTTGACCGTTGCGGCGCCAGCGGGCTAAACTTATTGCGCGAGCCGGCGGCGCTGACGAAAAGGTTGGCGCATTATCATATTCATGCGCGACGGGGCGCATCCGAATCGCAGCGGTGCGGACGCGAGCGCGCTCGAGTGAGCCTGTTGACTTTCGATTTGGAATCGAATCGACAGCGCCGAGGCGGCGGCCGGCTGCGCGCGATCGCCCGCCTAGAAGCGGACGATTGCGGCGCGCGTCGCTTGCCGCCTGACTGTTGTCGTTCCATTTCGCGCACTCCCCTGCGCGCCGCGGTGACCTGCTGCCGCCGCGCGCCTTCGTCGGCCGGCCGTGACGCGCGAGCAGCGACGACGCTCCGGGTCGCGTCGAGCGTCGACAATGGCGCCGCGACTCGACAAGGACATTCGGCCGAGAGCGCCGACTGGCAGTAAAAACAGTCGGGTCAACGGAGGGGCAGGCGGCTGCACCGAGTGCCGCTTTGCCGAGGTGGGTGCTAGCGGACGTGTTAGCTGGCTACCGGCGGCGGCTCGACTCGCTCGCGCCCTAATCTCTTCGTACCCTTCGCACGTCTCTCGCGAGCTTCCGAGTAATTGCTGCCAGCGCCGCTGAAAGGGTACGGATTGCACGCAATTGCAGTTGCACTTGCTCGGCGGCGCGAGCTTCGGAAAAATTGAAAAGCTCGCTCGCGCACCGAATCACGTCAGGCATTTACGAGGCGAGCTTTTACGAGCTGCAGCGAGCCCGGGCCCCAACTCCATTCTTTACGGCCGCTTTTCCGCCGAGCCAGCTCTCCTCGAGCTGTTTATTTTTTATCAAACTTCTCCTCGCAATTTCCAGACTTGCAGTGGCGCGCCCCGTCTTGTCCCGTTTGCTTGGCTTTTATTCTGCTTACCCCCTCCACATCACCGCTCACCGACAGGCTGTCTCCGCAGCTTCCGGCGCGCTTCGCACGCAGGCCCCTCCGGGCAGACGGCTAACCAGACTTGCTCGGCCACACTCGTCTACGCCATCTGAAAGCACACAGCACACGCGAAGCCTCGTTAGTTGATCCTCGGCAACCGTTCGTCGCCTCGTAAAACATCTTTGGCGGCGTCAGCCGCTCGGGCTGCACGGGCCGCGCGCCTATACTCGATACGCGCGCGCTCCGCGCGATGCCGACAATCCCACCGAAGAGAGCTCACGACTGCACGCACACACGCGGCACGGCTTTCGACGCCGTGCCGTTACATCGATTTTTCCGGCGCAGCTTCGCACCCCGGCCAAAGCATATCTTTATGGTCTTTGGCCGCCGCCTGCTCTTGCAAGCTCAGCGCCGGCCGAGTGCGATTTTTCGGCGCAGCACTCGCGCGCCCGGAGCCGCTGCGCCCAGCTTAATCACTGCACGTCGAGGGGCTGATAAACAAGCCCGACGAGTATTTACACTCGAGCGGCGGCGGTGCGCTAGCTTTTTCGAGCACATCGCGAGCGAGGTAAGCAGCGGAGGAGGCGAGCAGTGCACTCGGGCGCCTTGAAAATGAAGCGCGCGCTCGGCGCCGTCTCTCGTGTCCCGGGGATTCGGCTAATAAATCTCTGCCCTCTGCGCTTTTCCCGCGCGAGCTCGCGCCGCTGCCTCGTCCGCCCGGAGAAGGCGCGCGACGCGTGACGGCTCGATCTGCCATCTCGGGCGCTTTTCACTCGCGTCGGTTTGCTCGCGCGCCCGATATTACCACTTGGACCCGGCTCTTTGGCGCTGCGGAGCGTGTGCTCGCTTGGCTTTGCGCTTGGCAAACGGATGAGAAATTGAGGCCACTCGCCCCCCTTACTCCCCGGCTGCCGCCCTCGAACCTGCCGCAAAGAGTAAAAGTCATTTTTCATCGTCTCCCGGAATTCCATCGGCCTCTGGCTTTATGCGCGCGAGGCCGCGATTAGCCGCGCCAGCCACGAGAATAAGCGAGTAGGAGCCGAGGAGCGCGCGGCCAACGCGCTCGCGCTAGATGCAGGCGCCGCGGCTCGCGGCTCACGGCTCGACACAAGCTGAGCAATTCGTTGCGCAACGACGAGCACGGAGTGGGCGCATTCGTGCGATATCGCCGCTGCTTTTGTCTGCTTTTTTTCGGGCCTTTGTCCGTGGACGCGCGCGGTCGCGCAGAGAGTGCCGCGCCAGAGCCCGGTTCGCGTAAGAGCTTATTCCACGGACGAGTCGGAGGAGCTGTATGCGCAGCCGGCGAAACAGCGGCGCTGGATATCCCGGGGGCTGCCCGGCACTTTTCCGCTAGCGAGCGATTGGCATGCAGCGCATTGGATTAAATTGGAAAATTCCGATTGCTCGAGGCCGCCGCGCTTGGCTCGGCAATCTTACCTGGCCGCGCGCTACCCATGTGTATGCGCGACCGCAATATGCAATCTAGAGCACGCGCGTTTAAATTTCAGTTCAACTTTTCAGTATTTATCCATTGCCGAAGGGCATCGGGTGAATACTGATATCGAACGGGGGCAGTTTCGTACGTCGACAGAGACGGAAACACATCACGGTAAGCCAACGCTCGGTCAATGCGGTTACTTTCCACGAGAGAGCATCCAAACCGTGAATGTTGTTCGTAGGTGCAACACGACATCGATGAAATAAAAGGCCGCGCGCAAAGCAAACGTAATAACACGTCGTTCAACAAAGCCCAGCTCCGAGCGCAGAGGAGTAACGTAGCCAGCTGGCGGTTAGCGCGAATAACAATAAAGGGAGGTTATCCGCGCGGCTTCGGAGTAATGAAATGGGAAGGCTGCAACGAGCGGCACGGGCTTTATCCGGGGCTCGAGTCCGCGGACTGCAAGCGGAGCATTAAAGGCCCAGCCAGAGTGGTTTCTTCGCGGAGCTCTACCTTCTCGTCCATCAGTCCAAGCTGAGGGCACGGAGCTAGCCACCGCCGCCGCCGCCGCCGCCGCCGCCTCGATCATCCGGATAGCCGACCGCCGCGGCTCGGCGCGCGAGCGCCGCGTTGCAGCTTGCCGCAGAGAAACGCATCGCCAGCGGCGCTGCCGCGCCAATTAACCGGACCAGCTCCACACATATATCTCTGCGGGACGCGGCCCCTGCCCCGCGCCACGTTTGCGGATCTGCGGGGGCGAAGAGGCAGGGCGCCCTTCTCGTTCTTTATCACATTCATTCGGCTCTTCCAAACGGATGGACGAGCGAAAAGCTGGCGAATGTGCAGATGTGGACCGTCGTCGCGTTTTCCCTCGGCAGCCAGGTTGCGATGCTTCGCAGATCGTTCGCCTGCGGCTCTCCTTACGGCGAAAGCCGTCGCGAAACAAGAAGAGAGAAAGAGAGTGGCATGGAGTAGAAGCTGTCGTCGAGTGAACGCCCGGGCAGCCGGCGTAGCAGTAGCCGAACGCAATCTCGGAGGACGACGAGTGGATGTCGCGGAGGAAGCTGAGCGGAGCCACGAGCGCGCCGACCGCGGAGTGCCACCAGCGCGAAGCGAGGCCTGGCTCCTTGTCAGCGGGCTGCCTGCGAATTTCACTCAGCAAGCAAGTTGCCGAGCGGAAATCCTGCGGGGCGCAGGAGCCGAGTCGACTCGGGTCGAGTGGATTGGAGACGAGCAGCTGCGCGCGGGCGCGCGCGCGGAGGGCAAACAGTTTGCTCCACCAATATTAGCACGCCGCCGAGTTGACCGCAGGGTCCGTCGGCGTAGGTACGCCGACGCGCTCGGAAGAGCGGGCGTCTTTCGCGCGCTCGCGCGCAGGCGATGCCCCGAGATTGCCATCCGATCCGGCGCCATTGTGACAGTACGTACAGGCTCAAGTTTGTCTTGCTCTCGCGGCTCGCGACTCGCGCTAGACGAGGACCGCGCTAACTATCCAACTTTGCAAATATGATCTCGACGCGCAACCGCGGCGCACTTACTGCGCAGGCAAATGAGCGAAACTTGGGCTGCTTTGTCTTGGCCGACGCTCCGATGGCCTGCAATTGTTCGATCGATAATCCGAGTAGCGAATAAAAAGCGCTACAGAGACTCGACACTGAAAGACAAACATATCGCGCCGGTGTCCTCTTCCCATTGCCATTCCAATTTCAATTACAGAGACGTGCTTTCATCAATTGGATACGTGCAATCGGATCGACGCGCGTCGTCGCAGGCACCCCGGGGCCCGATGAAATCCGAGGTGCGAGTCGCTGAAAAATGTGCTAGACGGCTGGCTGCAGTATTTATTTGATTAGGCGCCGAGCCGGTGCTACCGGGCCGCGATCCGCGCCGAGATTGGCGGCCGGCAAGCTGTAAAGAGGCCCCGAGGCGCGCGCACTCTCGCGGCTAATTGCCTCGTTATTAAATCATGCGGCTTCTTAATTAACGGTCGCGAGCTCGGGGCTCCAGTTTCGCGCCTGACCTGCAAGACAAAGTCGCGCGCCTCTATCTCCCGTTCTCTAATAAGATCGAGGGCTAATCCGACTCAGCAGTCGGCTTCCAGAGCCGTTCGCACGCACCGTTTGTCAAAGCTCTCGATTAATTTCTTGCTCGCGCGACAGATCCCTTTTCACTCATTTGCTCGAGCAAGAGACTGGCTGAGCAAGCTTCGGTGAAAGGAGGATCAGCTTGACCTCGCTGCCTGGTTCGCAGCGCCGCGGCAGCCTTTCCCGGCCCCGTGCAGGCAATTTGCGCGCGCCCCCGGATCGATAATGAATTTCATCATTTATCAAGTTCCGCGCCCGAGCCGGACTCTGGATAGAGCCGTCGAGAGCTCCTCTTTTAACTAGCTCCAGCGAGATTACAGTTCTTACCCTGATTGCCGCCTGATAAGAGGCCATTCGGCTGGCGACCGATCGGAAACCGGACCGACGCGCGGCGCGCCGTTACAAGCAGCGCGACGCCGGTGCCCGACGTTCTTCCCCCGCGAGCGCACTAGCCCAGCGACGACACAGCTCTCGATTTGCCTCAGGTTCACCTCGCGTACTCCACAAAGGGACGGCGATCGGCCAGCCCTCCGACCTTGCTCGACCAACTGCACTGTCTACAGCTCTGATCACTCGACGCTGGCTGCTTTCGGCCGGGTATACACTTGCGCTGATTACTCGTACAAATTAAATGATTAGCAGCAGCGCCACCGAATCAGTAGTCATAGCCGCTTTTGGTCGGACGCGCGCGCCGCCGGCGATACGTCGGCTAATATTCCGGAGAGGCGCGCGGCAATCGCCGACTCGCGATGATTACGAGCATTAGCGCTCGTAGAGGACAATCGAGCGACGAGTTTCGGGCATTCATTTGCGTCGCTGCCATCGAATTTTCCGTCGGCCTCGTCAGTGTCATAACTCGCCACGCCGCTCGCGCGACGCTAATCAATGCATTAAACGTCGGCGCGCGGTGCGACCGTCATTCGTTTGCCCGATCCAAGCCGGAAGCTCGCCGACGACGAGCGCATTGCCGTGGCTGACCGCTTGCAGCGGCAAAATATCGTTGATCGAGCCGCGGAGGGGTTGCGCGGGCGCGATAAGCCCGCGGAGCGATTACCGGCGCGGCGGCTTCGTTGCGTCGGCGTGCCGCGATATTACCATGGACTTTGCCTCGCGTAGCCGGCGCAGACGGAAACGCCGCAGCTCCACGGCCTGCGCTCGCCAGTCAAACTATTGACCGAGGAACTTTCTCATTAAACTCGCCGCAACCAGCGTTAATCATCTCGGCAAAGCTGCTTTTTCTTTCGCGCGGCGCTCGGCAGTGTCGATCCCTCGCGCCGGCGCTGCGCTTCGTTTTTTTCCGGCGGCGCGGTCTAATGCAGCTGTCGCCCAGAGAAAAGGCCCGCGTGCAGCAGTCGTGCCGCTCGCTCGTAATTGGCTTCTCTCTTTCCCGAGCCGTCTTTTTGAAGCCCGGCATTATTGCAATCAGCCTCCGTAATTAGCCTCGCTGAAAGGTGCTTCGATCGACTAATTACAGCTGCCTCGGATGGGCCATTGCTCCGGGCCAAGTGCTGCCGGTCAAAGTCACTCTCGAGTTTTCAGGGCGACCACTTTGCTCCTCAGTCGTTCGGTTCCCGTCGCCGGCCGATA